TGGCTTGCAAGTAATCGTTTGTAGCTTCACCAGGTTAATGCCTCACTTTTAGGTATACCTGGTGCTGCTTTTGCCAGGCCCTCCAGTCCAGGTTTGAGTTGCTAGATCTGTCTGTCCTATTTAGCATGCTGATGGTGCTGCAAATCAGAGAGAGTATCTCAACATGAAGATTGCAGAGCAAGGTGCCCAGAAATTTTCCCCGTTCTGACAGAAAGGAATCCAGGCCAGTTTCAAGTCTAGTGCCAAAAGAGCAATGAAGAGCGGGGACCTTCACTCGCTTCCTGAAACTGTTGTAGGATTGTGAGAGATAGTCACTCCTACCAATACTGTTGTGGACAGATGAATCAGTGAGTGGGGATTTGGTGAGGATGAGGTCAGGTGGGTTTTTTTTTTCCTCCTCCTGAGTACTTTACCATCTGCTGCCGATCCAGTTGAGCAGTTACTCCCTTTAGGATTTAACCAGTTCGGTCAGTAGCAATGCTACTGAACCACTCTTGGTAATGGACGTTGCAGTCCGCACCTACAGTACATTCTGATCCCTTGCTACCCTCAGCGTTTCTTCCAAGTAATGTTCTGTGTAGAAGAGAATTGAGTTATCAACTGAGGAGTGGAATTGATGGGTTGTATTAGATGGTAATAACAGTAGGTTTCTTTGCCCACCTTTGACTTGATGCCATGAGGTTTCTTTGGTTCCGGAGTTAACATCGAGGACTTCTAGGCAATTCAATCCCAACATATACCACTGTGCTGCTGTATCTGGGGTTCGCCCTACCGGTGGAACAAAGCATATCCAAGGGATAGTGATGATAGTATCTGGGCCATAGTAGGTTATGATTTAATGAGTAAGGCTATGGCGGGCTTTTTTTTTCTTGCTGGAGATTTCCTCAGTGGTCTGTGAGATAAGCATTTGTTTTAAGTTTGTGTGTTACTCCAATTCTAATTCTCGGGTATATCAATTTAAAAGTAAACAGCATAGCTTTGTTTTGTACAGGATGGACGTTTAGTACACAGTGATTGTTGAAAGTTACTTAAACAAAATGTGGTAAAGTTATTAATTTAAAGCACATTTACAAAGATTTAAGGTAAGAAATTAAGGAATATGCAAATGCGATCAGTCTCTATTATCATTGCAGGCCTGCCTTGCTTGAAGATCTTCTGTCTGAAGTGAAGGGATTCAAATTCCAGGTCAGGTTTATCAACTGTGCTGGCCTATGCAGTAGGATAATTGGCTATTTTCTGTAGGTGGACTTAGGAACTACAGCAGTTTTTCAGGGAGCAAGTGAAAGCCCCTATTCTTTACTGCTCCTTTAGCGCTAGACTTGAAAATGGCCTGGTTTCCTTTCCAGCAGAATGGGGACAGTTTCGGGGCACCTTACTCTGCATTTCCCAGGGTCAGCAAGCAAATGTGGCTCTCAAATACTGTTCAGTTAGCTCCAGCTATGCACAGCTGAATTATCTTTTTGGGTTATCCTGAGATCTCTGCAGTCCACTTTGAACTTCTCAACTTAAAAGTATCTGCTTTCCCAGACTGTCAAACCATACTTCCATATTAAATGTTGGATTAACTCAGATCTGAAGTGTGAACCCATCCATTTGTTTTTGTTTACCGGAGGTAATAAGCATTTTAAATGTGGAGAGAGAGCTGAGTTCACATTTTGGGGCCAGTGACATTTCTTCAGAAGATTCTGAAGAAGGGTCATTGGACCTGAAATGTTAACTCTGCTTTTGCTCCATAGATGCTGCTAGACCTGCTGAGTTTTTTTCCCCAGCAGTTTCTATTTTTGTTTGTTTTTTGTTTTCCAGCATCCATAGTTCTTTGTTTTTGTGTTTAACATTTCAAATGTCACAGCTATTAACTTGAATGGCTCTCATTCCTTGAGGCTCTGTGAACTATGAAGATCCATACACACCTTCAGGCAAGCCATTGTCAAGGAGTTTGGTTTACTCCCTGTGGAAATGTTTACTGAATTAAAAAAACACCTTGTGATCCTTTTCCAGAAGAGTACTGCCTTTACCCAATTGCAGTTTTATCTAGAAAGGTGATTTTTGTGAGCTGTTTTTCAAGATTCCTTGTGTCCATTCTTAAGATCACAGCTTTAAAATATATGGTTGTACAGGTTTGTGATACTGTTGCTTTACCAGTCTGTGGGACAGCGTGCTCAAATTTTGGCATAATCCTTTACGTTATTAGTAAGGCGGACTTTGCAGAGTGGATGGGATTTGAATTGCTGATCACATTTCAGGTGCCTAGATCATTGCTGGGTGGTCATCCAATTTTGTTCCTTCCTTTAGACTTGATTTGATAACAACTGAATAGCTTGCTAAGCTTTTCCAGAAGGTATATCAGGAGGCCAGACCAGGTAAAGTTAATGGATTTCCTTTCCTGTAGGACATCAGTGAATCAAAAGGGTTTTCTATGATAATCAAAAATGGTTTCATTACTGTTGCTAGATTTTAACTCCAATTTATAATTGTATTCAAATTCCACCAGCTCCCATGGTGGAATTTGTACCAGTATTCCCAGGCATTAACCTGGGCCTATAGATTGCTTGTCCAGTGACATTACCACTCCGCCACAATTTATCCAAAGTGACCTCAAAGCTGCAGTTTACTTGTACTATCACACTGTTGAAGCTGCTCAAAACACAGTCTTTGCAATTTTTTATGTTATACGGGTGTTGCAGGCTACCCTGCTTTTATTGTTCAATCCTTATTTCCGTACAGAAGGTGTGTCGCCGCCTTGAACCACTGCAGTTCTTGGCATGTTGGTGTAGCTGCAAAGGTGTTCAGGCTGCTCTCTCATTAAAGACAAGTGACTGGGTGGTGAGTTTAACCTGTGGGTCACCATGCCTGAGGTGAGGTTGAGAAGGCGTGACCTCCATGGTGACTTCAGCATTGCAAATGTAGCTGAGGTTACCATGCATGTCCTACCTTCTCACTTCACCCCTAGTCTGAGGCATGATGACTCATGGGTTAAACTTACCACCAGTTGTCTGTCTCTAATGAGAGAGTAGCCCTATGGTTCTCTGGGACTATGGCGACTTTAATTTTGTTGGGAATCCAAACTTCTTGCCGTTGAGACAATGAAGAAACAGCATAGTTTCTAAGTCACGTTGGTATGTCGTTTGGAGGGGAACTTGCAAGTTGTGATACTCTGATGTATCTGCTGCCTTTATCCTTCTAGGTAGTGGAGGTCATGGGGGGGTTAAAAATGAAGACCAAATGACCGGTTTGTGAACCACTTTCAGTTAGTCTGCAATCATGACCCTGAGTTTCCAGTTGCTTGCCATTTTAACTCTTCTTTTGCTGTCACACACCGATTTCTGTCCTGAACATTCTGCAGCATTCCTGTGAAGTTCAAGGCAAGGGCGAGGAGCAGCCCCTTCTTCTGACTTTAAATAATACGTTCAAAAATTTCAGTGCTTCACTTTGATTTGGGCTTTCTTAAGAATTTTATTTTTCATATTTTATTTTTCATATTTTTGCTTTTGGACAGAGCAGTTCGTTATTCTGACATTCAGATAAAGCAGACCAATGTTCTGATTCTTTACTTTGCCACTTCCTCTGCCTTTTGTTCCATTACATCTTTGTCATTTAATCTCCTACCCTTGACCCTATTCCCTGATCGGGTCTATTTGTTCTCGTCCCCACTTTAGATAGCAAAAAAGCCTTCACATTTCTATCTTCCTGGAGGTCTGGAGAGTCATATTTGACTCAACCTTCACTCTGCTTCTCTCTCCACAGGTACTAACAGACATGCTATGTATTTCCAGCACTTGTGTTTTTCTTTGTAAATTTCCAGTGACTGAAAGGAAGCATTGCACAACAAGAAAGGTCCTGACCTGAAACGTCAACTTTCCTGCTCCTCTGCTGCCTGGCCTGCTGTATTCCTCCAGCTCCACGCTGCTTTCTGCAACATCTTTTACTGGTTATTGTGGTTCCTTCAAGACAAATTACCCACCACATGCTTTTCTGGAGTATGGGAAGGATTGAAGGGTTTAACTCATTGCTAAAGAGGGTCGGTGCAAATGTCAAGTGGATTGCGAATTTCAGGACAAAGCAGTGGCCTAGTGTGATTAGACTATGTAACACAGTGTTTACAGGAACAAAAACAAAGTTGCTGGAAAAGCTCAGCAGGCCTGAAGAAGGGTCACTGGACCCGAAACGTTAACTCTGTTTTTTCCTTCACAGATGCTGCCAGACCTGCTGAGCTTTTCCAGCAACATTGTTTTTGTTCCTGATTTACAGCATCCGCAGTTCTTTCGGTTTTTATTTACCATAATGTTTTCCTTGCAAGACATCTCACATCGTTTTAATTATATTTAATAATCTGTTCAGACTTGTAATGACATTCTTGTTAGACAGGTTAGACTTCAACCTAGGTCATCTGGTTTAGAGCTGTGGACACTATCACTGCATCATAAGACTCCCTCACATTCTTGTATCAACTAGCTAATTCTCCTACAAAATGGAGAGAATGCATGCCTTCTGTATTGCAACATTGCATGACAAGTAGATTTTTTTTTGGTGTGGCACCTGCAGAGGCTTTATGCAGCAATTAAGGTTTTCTCCTGATAAACGTGTAAACAGTCCACATTGTTTCTAGAGATCAAGAGTAACATTGACAAAGACTTGACAGAAGATAACTTTTTCAGCTCAATTCGATGAGGGTATCTTAAGTATTACCATATAATTCTTAAGTGTTGTGGTGTGGTGTCAATGATGGTATTAAATATTTGAAAATGTTGTTTACTACACTAAACATGATATTATAAATTAGCAATTTCAGATCATGATTTTCTTGGTTTATTTTCTGAAATTAATCTTACATTTACTGCAACATGTGCAGTTGTATCTCCAGAGTTTTCTCTACCAGTTTCCTATTTTGATGTTTCATTGAATTTTTAAAATAATTTTGATTCCCATCTGATTTTTGCTAATTTAGCTTTCTGCAGCTGTACCTAGGAGGTCAGATTAATTCTTCTGTTTTTAAACCTTAGGCCTCTGAAGAAGTGTCAAAATGCCTGCTGACCATGAAAGAGATACTATGTGGTACCAATGATAAGGAGCCTCAGACTGAAACAGTTGCACAGTTGGCACAGGAGCTGTACAATAGTGGATTGCTGATATCATTAATTGCACACTTGCAACTGATAGACTTTGAGGTAAGTAATCCTGGATCAGGAGTGTGTTTTGTCGTAAGATATCTATGCTTTATTTAAGGAACTGTTTCAAAATAGCTAAAGTTTAAAACACCAGTCTGTTTTGTCTGATTTAAAACAAAATTAATCTCCAGTTTACATTTGTTTTAGGCATTGGATTTTATCTGCAAAGGAAGGGGACTTGCTTAAAATTTAGGCTCCTTTGTAGTAAAGGAAATCGCTGTTTAAATTGCAGATCTTGGGTATAACACCTCAGCTTTGCCATCTATTCTGTTTCATGAAGCTATCTTGCTCCTGGGACTTCAGACGTAGTACAGTTCAGATACAATAGGGATTCTTTGAAGCAAAGGCAGAATATTGCTCCTCTTGCCAAAGTTTATATTTTATTCTCCAACATAAGCCAGTTACTTTGTTTCTTCTGAAGTTGATAGTCCTAAACGCCTGATTATTTCTCTGGAAATTTGCACTTCTTGTATCTGTTCTTGCACATTGTTCGTTGTATCCAGTGCCTCCTTAACTGGACAGTTTGATCTTGAGTCCTCACAGTGGAAAGATAAAAGGAAACCTGATAGATCGTCTCGGATGTTTTAGATATGTTTGGGGCACCTGCTTGTTTTTGGGCTTTATTGTGTCGAATCATCCCAGTTTATTAATTACTAGTGTATTGTGTTTTTTGTTTATGTAAGAATGAGAGCACGCCATTCGTCATACTAATCATACTCCATTATTCAATTGGATCATGTTTGATCATCTACCTTGGTGCCACTCACTGCACTGTCTCCATATCCTTTGATGTCATCAGTCTCAGGACTCTTGTCAATTTCTGTCTTGAACATGCTCAATGGTTGAACTTTCACAGCTGTCTGAGGTAGAGAGATTCACTACCCTCTGAGCTAAAAATAATCCTTGGCCTTTATTCGTCTACCCCTTATCCTGAGATTATGTTCCCTGGTTTTAGACTCACCATGCAGGGGAAACATCTTGGCTACTTCCACCCTGTCATTCTTTATAAGAATTTTGCAAGCTTCAATGAAGTTACTTTTCATTCTTTGAAGTTCTAAGAAATACAGATTCAGTCTCCAATCTCATTAAGCAACCTCGAACCATCCTTGGGGTTAATTAATTGAACCTCAGTTGCATTCTCTTTATAGCAAGTATTCCATAACACAGAGCCCCACACACAAATTGTACACAATATTTCCAGGTGAGGACTACAGCAAGACATCCTTGCACCTATACTCATGCCTTTGTGGTGAAGACCGACATACCATTTGCCTTCCTAAATTACTGCATCTGCATGCTAACCAGTAGTAATCCTTGAACAAGGACATCTCTTTGCATTCTTTCACTTTTTAGCACCTTCCCCTCTAAGAAATATATCTTTTCATTTCTTTTCTACCAAAGTGAATAAGTTGTTTACATTGTATTTCATCTGCCAATTTCTAGCCATTCACTTAGCTTCCTTGGATCCTTCACACAATTTACATTAGCACCCAGTTTGGTGTCATCAGCAAATTTTGGAAATATTACAATTGGTCCTGAAATTCATATCATTTGTATAGATTGTGAACAGCTCTGGACCCAGTATCAATTCGTGTGGTTCCCTTCTAATACCAGTCTTCTCGCCTGCAAATGATCCATTTACTCTTTCTCTATGATTAGTCTCTATTAATCAATTCTCAGTTTATATTCGTATATATTCCCCCAGGCCCAAGTGCTTGAATTTTATATACTAACTGTCCTGTGTGGGACCTTATCAGAAGCCTTCTGAAAATCCAAATATGTCACTGTTTTATCATTGCTACAAATAGTATCCACAAAGAAATGGCAACAACTTTACCGAACAAGAATTTCGTAAATACAGGTAGACTCTGCTCAATTTTACCACTCCTTTTCTAAATATCCAGTTGTTACGTCCTTTTATAATGGATTCTAATATTTCAGCAAGATTAATGTCAAATTAACAAGTCTGTAGTTCTCTATTTTTTTTTCTCTTGCTCCCTTCTTAAATAGTGGTTATTTTTGCTACTTTCCATTCTGCAGGAACCTTTCCAGAATCTACAGAATTTTGAAAGATAACTACCAACTATCCACTATCTTCGTAGCCACCTCCTTCAACACTGGGATGAAGCTGATCTGGTCCAGGAGATTTATTCACATTAATTGAGTTAACTTTTCACGTACTACCACTCTGCTAATACTAATTTCTCTCAGTTCTTCAATTTCTGAGATTTTCTATATCATCTCTCTGGAGACAGTTGCAAAGGAATTGTTTAGTTTCTCCTCCATTTCCCTGTTCTCCACTATAATCCCAACTCCCTGCCCCCCACAATAATTATCCTAGCTAATATTTTCCTTTTCACTTGCTAAGTTAAATTTTTACAGCATGCATTTATGCTCCTTGCTGGTTTGCATCTGTCTACTCTCTTCCCTTTTTTAAAAAAATCAGTTTCTTGATCTTCCTTTGCTGTATTCCAAATTGCTCTCAATCCTCAGGTACACCACTTTTACTGGCATCCTTATAAACCACTCAGAGTTAATTCAGTTTTTTTACGACTTAGATTAACCACAGTTGATTTACCTTTTGTTTTGGCTATTTGTGTTGTAGAAGACTACGTATCTGTATAGATTGTGTAGTATTCCTTCTAAATGTTGGACATTTTCTGTCTCCGTCAAATCTTCTCATGTATTTTCCAAACCCATCATTAGCTAATTTGCCCTTCATATCTTCCTAATTTCCTTCCCTCAGACTTAGGACTGTAGTTTCAGAATGAACTACATTTCATTCAGACTTAAGGCAAATTTCCATCCTATTATGGTCACTTTTTCTCAAACAGTGACATCAGGTTATTAATTAGCCTTCAATAGAAACTTTTTAATGTGCCCTAGTAACCTAAACATATCCTGTGATCTTTCAAAATTAAAGCTCATGATCATTGATGACTTGAGATTCCTAATGGATTGTGAATAGAGGTGCTGGATCTAATAAGCAACAGCCAGTTTGAGCTCTTTGCAAACTGAAAAAAGTCTGGGAACTCTAAAATGACAGATTAAACAGCTGAAAGGCGAAGTACTTCTAATGTAAAGCTCCAGAATGTCTCTTTCTAAAGGAATAAATTCACTTTTTTTTTATTCCAGATATCTACTAGATGTTAGAGATCTTCTTACATTTGTGGATTTTGAGCACATTCACATGTAAGGCATAGGACACTTAAAGCTCTGCTTCAAATCTAGAGCAGCCCCCAATTGTGAAAATGTGATTTATCCACCCATCAGTCTAATTGTTATGATCCCAAATGATAGTAATACTTGGTATGTCATATCCCAACATAAAATCTGGTTGACAGATCCTATGTTTAATTTTTCCAGTTGCTTATCATGGTTACTTATTGAAACCTATTCATATGAGGCTGCGAAAGTTCTTCGATAATAAATTTATGTTTTATTGTTGAAGAGAGGGAAAAAGATCTTTCAAACAAAGCAATATGACTGTAAGAAAAGTCTCAACATAAACAACAAAACCAAGTTTCAACCTGTTTCCAAGTTCTATCCTTATACAACAACTCAATTCCAGAGCAATTTCATTATCTCAATGTTTTGACTGAAAAGGTTCCTTCCAGTTTCTTTTGCTTGGACCACAAAGACAATTTTACAGTTCCTTTCTGGGTCCAGTGACATGAACCATTTACAGATGGCTTAAACATGCTCAGTCCTGTCATCTTGATTTCTATCCAAGCTCTTCCAACTTCAAAGCTCCACAAACTAAAACACTTGGCTGAGTGATTGGTTCCCCTGAACTAAAAGCCTGATTCTTCCTACTAGAATGAACTGTTCATCCTCCTGAACTGAATTCCTGATATTTATATACTAAACTTGAAGCTAAACTTACTGTTGTAAGCTCAGCAGTATAAACATTCCATCCATTAATACCACAAGAGTTCTGCTTGACACATGACTGCCATCACATGCTTCCTTCAAAATGATGCACTTAGTTCACTATTCCAAATGACTTTCTGACCTGTTCAAAAAGAATTACTGTCACAAACTTAATCACATCCATCTGCTTCTATTTTAAAATCTAAACTCTGTTACAAGACCCTATGGACAAAAGTAAAATACTGCAGAAATAAGAAATCAGAAATAAAAGTACTAAGTGCTGAAGAAACTCAGCATCTCAACAGAGTTCTGAAGAAGTCATATCAGACTCAAAGCATTAACTCTGATCCAAATTCAACAGATGGTGCCAGACATGCTGGGTTTCTCCAGCATTTCCTGATAGTGTGTTTTGTGCTATAAAATAGTCATCAATCTGATGAATGTGATTTTTCATTTTACCTTGGATCACTTTCAAAGCTCATGGAAAATATTTTTTCATTTTATCTTTCTAGAGCACATTTGATCTTATTTCCAGAAGTAAAATTACTTGGTTATAACACATTGATTAATTCCATTATTATTTTACATATAAACATGATTTTAATTTAGCTACACAAAAACTGTTTTTGCACCTATTCTGAACTGAGCTTGTATTTCTTATTGCAAGGTTTTACAAATGAAACTTTGACAATTAATTGTCATCTCAGAGGCTTAAGATGAGGAATATTATGCTGTACTGCAGTCATTTTATTTGTTACAGCTCCCAAAGTATGTTTTAAATATGTAAATAATGGGTCATGTTTTCTAATTATAGTTTCAAATGCACATTCAGCCCGAATCCACTCTGTATCTTGGGCTGCTTTTACTTGGAGGCAGGGGCAGAAGAGCAGGAAGGTGGTCCTCTGATGACATACATATATTTCTGTTGAGAGGGCTTAGTTGCTTTTGAATCTGAAGGAATGGAGAAGTTAGAAGTAACCTGAAATATGTCTGTAGAGTGTATTTTGTCTGAAACTAATGCAAGATTTATCCACGGACAAAGATTAACTTTGTTTCTGAGCCTCAAATTTAACAGCAGCAGCCTAGGGACACAGACGGGAATAATTTTTATTATTTGAGTCTTTATCGCCTGTCAAGCATGCTAGCAGAGTTGGAAAATATCAGAGGTAGATATGTACGTTAGAATAATGCAGACACCGGATTTATGCTGGCTGCAATGTACTGGATTTAACAAACACATTGACGAAATCAGTGTTCTACAAGAGAGAACTTCACGACAGAAAAGAAGATCCAGAATGCAGTGTTCAATATTATGTTTTCTCTTCTCATTCAGGCCTATTGTTTCAGCTTTGACTTCAGCTGGCAGACCAATTTGAGCATAGAACACAGTGAACTGTTATTGGCTTCTATAAGAGACCAATATAAGTTAAATTTAGACTGATCATTATTATTGTTACAAAAATAAAACTTTCATCAAAGAGGAAATGTTTCCTGTCCATGTGATGATGAAGGACAGTATTTTCTTGCTGTTTTCTCATATCTGTAATAAAATGATATTTCAATTGAATAAATTTTGAGTGTCTTGAAAACAATTTTTTTATGTCTGACTGATTTGGTCTAATCTGCTATATTCATAGCTTTTTCACTCTTGTCAAGCTTAATGGCCAAAACATAGATACCAGGTCACCTATTATAGTGCTCACTGTAAACTAGATTATTCCCTGCTTTGTACCATGTTAACCTAAATGCATCCTGCTGCACTCACATTTTGTAGAGCTGTCAAGGCTTCAATACCAAACTTAATTGTTTTAATTAAGATGATCCTGAAATCACATACAGGCCTCCCTGGATAGATCCTATAGGTTAGAGGTTATTGTTTTTCTGTCAATTGAATTCAAAGACCTGGCAGCAAGTATTCCTTCATTTCATGCTCTAGAAACTCAGATTTTCTAGTTTCAGATCATGTCAAGCACTTTGTAAATGAGTGGTACCAAATGAGACTGGCTGCATTAGGAATTTTTTTTTTAATGAAAAGCTGTGATGTAGGAGATTGGAAATAAAAAAGAAAAGTGCTGGGGAAAAACTCAGCAGTGTGGCAGCATCAGTGGAGAAAGGAACAGAGTTAATGTTTCCAGAGCAGTCTTGGGAACTGAAGGGAAATGTGATGGGTTTCATATTGTTGAGAAAGAGGGAGGTCAGGGATAGATTAGGGAGTGGAAGAGTTTAAGGAGCTGGGGAGTCATGAAACAAAAGTCAAGGACGTAATTACAGTGAAAACGAAGTATTAACTCAGAATAAGTGCTAATAAAGGTCAGCTCTGTCTGAAAGCAAAACATGAGATCAAAACACCAGAATGACCATTTATTAGGAGTAGAGTGTAGTTAGACTCAAAATTTCAAAAAAAACTAATTTGGATTTAACAGCTGATTAAAATTTTGAAGGTACAATGGAAACTATAGACCAGTTAATTCCTTGAATGTCATTTTAGAGTCAGAGTTTTACAGCACCAAATGAGCCTCATCAGTCTATTGAGTCCATGCTGGTCATCAAATCTGTTCTAGTCTCAATTTCCAGCATTTATTTGTGTACGGGGCAATAAGGTAATCATCTAAATACTTCCTAAATGTTGTGATGGTTCCCACCTCTATGACCCTTTCAGGCAGTGAGTTCTAGATTCTCATCACACTCTGGAATAATCTTGCATTTCTAAAATACCTTCAATGAGGTCAACATGGCAGGCTCATGTGAAATAGGGACAGAAAAGCCAGCAAATTGGCTAAGTAAAGTAGAAAGCAAAGTCTACAAATTAAAAGGTATGTTTTTGGATTGGAGGAAGATAGAAAATGATGATCAATGTTGGGACCAATATTTAAGAATTTTGTTAATGATTTAGGGGTGCTGTAGCTAACACAGATAAGAAGCTATTCCAAAACTTGCAGATTGCAGTTAAGTAAAGTCAGGTTAAGCTTAAAATGGATAAGGGGAAATCACACTGGTATGGAAAATAGAAACCTTACTATAATTTTTTAAAATAAAGATAATCTGATGGTGTAGAAGATCATTGGGATCTACAGAAATATCTGCTTTGTCTTTTTGATGGTGTTAAGCTTCTCAATTGTTGTTGGAGCTGCACTCACCTGGGCAAACACAGACTTTTACATTATAGATCACTTCCTCTGGAGGCTGAGATGATTGGCCTCCATCAGCCACAAATATCCTTTTGCACTCGGTATAACTTGAATTGATGAAGAGTTTACCTCAATTCAATTGACTTTAATTTTGTTAAGACTCCTTGATGCCATACTCTGTCAAATGCTACCTTGATATGAAGGGTAATCATTCTTGCCTCGTCTCCACTCCTTCATACCGGGACAGAGGCTTTGAAGTCTGGACCTATGTGATCCTGGCAAAATGCAAATTGAACAGTCGTGAGCAGATTATTGTTGAGTATCAGGAAACAGTGGCTGAATGGTTAGCACTGCTGCCTCACTGTGAGGCAGCAGTGTACCTAGGTTCAGTTCCATCCTCGGGATTGTCTGTGTAGAGTTTGCATGTTCTTCCTGTGTCTGCATGGGTGTCCTCTGGGTGCTCTGGTTTCCTGCCACATGAAAGATGTGCAGATTAAGTGGAATGGCCATGCTAAATTACTCTGTAGTGTCCAGAGTTGTGCACATTAGGTGGATTAGCAAAGGGAAATGCAGGGTAACAGGTATAGGGTAGGGGGGATGGGTCAGTGTGGACCCGATAGGCAGAATGGCCTGCTTTCACACTGTAAGGATTCTGAGTACATTCTGCTTGTCAATAACATTTTGCATCATTGCTAATGCTTGAGGGTAGAGTGCTGAGTTTGCTATTAGTTGGATTGAATTTATCTTTTTTTTTTGTGGGTAGATCATGCCTAGACAATTTTTTACTTTCAGGCAGACAGCAATATTCGAGCTGTACAAGATCAGTTTGGCTAGGTGCATGGTTAGTTTTGGAGCACAAGTCTTCACTGTTACAGGTAGTCATAGTATATAGTCTATGCTGCAACCAGTGCCTTTTGCATTTAGATATGTCAAGTGAATTAAATTAGCTGAAAACTTGCTGTGGATTTCTGAGGAGTCCAAAATGGATCATCCACTTGGCGCTTCTAACTGAAAATGGTTGCAAATGCTTCAGCCAGCATATTTATTTTAACTGATGTATTGGACTCTGGTGTTTATTGAGAATGGGGATAATTTTTGTTGCATTGCCCAACTGCATTCACAGTGTAGATGTGGCAGAACTGCAGAGTTTTGGTCTAATCTGTTGGTTGAGATCACTTAATTCTGTCAATAATTTGCAGCTTCTGCTGATTACTGTGCATGTATTCCTGTGGCCTGTCTCTTTTTTTAGTTTGTTCTTCAATTCAGTAGCAGTTGAAACAGTTTTGTCCCTCTTCTTACTCCCTTTCTGAGGGCAATTTCAATCACATTGATGTCAGCAGTTTCCTTCCCAGAAGGACATTGCTGAACTAGATAGGTTATTGACAAGAATTTTAGTGGTTTCATGATCATCACCACTGAGACTGTTTGTTTTTCATTCCAGAGTTATTGATTCATTGTCTTTAATTCTCTCAGCTGCTGTAATAAGATTGAACCACTGTCCTGGAGCATTAGTTGCTGCCTGAGGATCATGAGTGCAGTATATTACCACCATACTAACCCTTACTAACTTACCAGAGTATTTAGCCAGACCAACTTTTAACAAATTGAATTAGTGAGAAGAAACAATCTGTGGAGGCAGCTTGTTTAATGAGCTGAATGGCTTTTCTGCCATCACCCTCATATCCATTATTCCATGGTTTTAATTCACTGTTGTGTCCTCAACTGTAGGACATTAGTTGCAATGATTGAGTGTGACTTAAAGCTCTTCAAGCAATATTACAATGATGTCCCGCTTTTAAACAACATACGCATTCCAAGAATGAGCAAGACTTCATGCTAAGTGATAGCGTGCACTATAACATGCATTTGTTAAGTAGGCATCCTTCCAAATGCATTTGAAACCCTACTGTATCAAGTTGATACTGATCATTGAGTTTTGTTTTATTTATTGATTGCTCTCAGACAAGAAAGGCCTGTCGGTGAACAAATTAACTTGGTAATTTTGAAGATTTTTTTAACTCCTTGAGTTATGTAATAATGTCAAGCAACTAAGACAGTTGGTTTGAAAATAGAAGATGCTTTGGAAACTTGGGTCTGGCAACATCTGTTGTGCGTCCACAGATGCTGCCAGACTTGTTGGGTTTCCCCAGTATTTTCAGTTTTTATTTCATACTTTTAACATCTGCAATGTTTTGCTTTTATTAAATGCTTTTGGCTTAATGTAGTTAATTAGTTATTTTGAAATCTTAAGTTATCCAGTGTAGTGACTACATTTTATGCAGTGTTTTTTAAGAATAGCACTGTACAAATTGCAGGCTTTTAACCTTGTTATATATTTTATGAAATAGGGAAAGAAGGATGTCACCCAGATTTTCAACAACATTTTGCGAAGGCAGATTGGTACTCGCACTCCAACAGTGGAATATATATGTTCTCATGAACAAATCTTGTTTATGCTGTTGAAGGGGTAGGTATTATCCAATAGTGTTTTAAAAATAATACTGTACTCTAAATGCCAAATAAATTTTCTTCAGAGTCACAGTATAATCTGGTGTGGATGTCTGAGAGTTTTTGGTATCACAGCAAGATTGTCAATAAAACTGAAAACTGCTATTTTACTTCAGTACCTTGGGCAGTATTTTACAGAAAGAAACTTGGTGTTCCTATTCAGGAAATGATGTGTACAGTAGTTTTTAATTAAATTTATGAATTTGATGTCATAAAGATAAGATGTAAGTCTGCTGTCTGATATGACTCAAACGTTCACATGGGTGCTGATGACAATGCAGTTCCTGTCAGTGGTGAATTGTACTTACAGGTCTTGCATTTCAAAATGTTTTTGTTTTACACTATCTGACACCATTACTTGATTCATATCATACTGGATGATCCTTCTATTCAGTTTTCTTAAGTGAAAAATCCTCATGAAATGAAAATTCCCACTGATGCCTTAAACAGCCACATGTAATTGAATTTAAATATACATTCAGTCTGAGTCATGAGGATAAACTGAAAGCAATAGTTTACATCAGAGATAGTAGGAACTGCAGATGCTGGAGAATCTGAGATAACAAGGTGTAGAGCTGGATGAACACCGCTTGGCCTGCTGTGTTCATCCAGCTCTACACCTTGTTATCTCCGATTCTCCAGCAATAGTTTACATGTTGTGGCACAAGTTTTAACACACAATCACGGATTCACATTTTGACTTTTGACCTAGAGGTGTCACCTCTACCGTTTCTAATGGGACGTGTTGGTGTCAATGCAATTTTCTCAGAGTTATTACAAAACTTAAAAGTGCACCGAGCGAGTCTTATCAATTTCGTCATTTCCCACTAACTGCCTCAGTTCTGTTACTCAAATAGAAAATAATAAACTTTTTCTGGAATAGAGTGAAACAGAGTGGCTGTAAAGGCATGAGAGCAATGTACAACCAGTAGGAGAACTTATCAGCCTGAACCGTATAGTGGACTGCTCTCTTTCACTTTAGTTCAGGATTGAAGTGGCATTGCAGAAGAAATTATTCTGCACCAACAATGGAGCAGATAAATAGAGCTAGAGTGTCAACAGGATGTGACTGAAATCTTTCACCGTTGTCACCTCTTAGCTAGAAGTGCCGTGGCACCTTTTATAGATAGATGGTGCTTTCTTAGAGGGCGTAGCGATTTCTTGTAAGAGCTAGATACTTATTTTTCAGATGGCTCTGATTTTCAAAAACCCTCACCATATGTACCTTGGGTGACACATCAAATTTCTTACAATTGTATTGGTCCGAGGTTGTCAAAAACTATCAGATTTAAAATCAATTGGCCTTGAATCACTAAATGTTTGGTTTAAATTAATTGGCTGATTCCAGCTAGTTGCCAAAACATCAAAACAAGTCTAAGGTTTCCAATCACACAGCTAATTGATACATGTTTCAATTTCAGAACTGGCTGTACATCTTCAGCTACATACAGGCATATTATTTTTCTATAGAATTCTCCTAAGTTTAGAAAAGCGCTTTACCTCTTAAAGGAAACACGCACTCTCTTCTCCCTTATCATCTTTTTACAAACAAATTCTAGCTTCCTGCCTTCCAATTCAGGATTACTCTACACAACTTCATAACACCTCCCTGCTTAAGGAAAAATAAAGAACCATTGTTATGATAAGATGGCTTCATTTTTTAAAAAATCTTAACACCACTATCACCAGTTACATAGGTCAGTAATGTAAACTTATACCTTTCGTACAAATTCTGCATTCATATTTAACATCGGACTATACCAGTTCTGTGTTACCTACACGTTTTTTAAACCTGTGATAGCGCATCTGCAGTAACATATTTACAACCCGCAACATGTACAATCTGTAAATTAAAAGCCTGTATCACAAGACTCCAACAAAATAGTCTCATTTTTTGTCCTTACGTCTTTCCAAAAAGGTGAAAGGGTTATGGTCTATATACACTACTGTCTCCGAAACATGAGCATTAAAATGTTGTAAGGCCAGTACCAAACTCAATATCTCTTTCAATGATGGAGTATTTTCTCTGGTGGTTATTGAGTTTCTTTGAAAAATAACCAATTAGCCTTTCAATTCTGCCATCATCCTCCTGTATCAACATAGCTCCAACCCCTACGTTGCTGGCATCGATAGCGACTTTAAAGGGTTTCAAGAAATTTAGTGTGGCTAAAACTGGTGCAGTGATTAACACTGCTTTTAAATTCTGAAATGCCTCCTGGCATTATTCCGTTCACCAAAATTTCGTGTTCTTCTTTAGCAAATCCATCAATGGCACCACCATGCTACTAAAGTTTGGTACAAATGTCCAGTAGAATCTGTTCAGTCTCAAAAATCAAAGCACCTCTTTCTTTGAGGATTGTCATGGAAATTCCTTATTAGCTTTTATCCTCACGTTCCTCGGGGTCATCCATCCATGTCCGATGTTGTGTCCCAAGGATGTCACATCTGCCTTCTTGAATTCGGTTTTTGCTAAACTTATAACCAGTTTTGCCTGCCGTAATCTTTCAAAGAGCTCTGCCAAATGCACAGTGTGATCTTCCCAAGAATGGCTAAAGATCACTAAGTCATCTATGTAGATGGCGCAATTAGTCAGTCCTGCCACAAGTCTGTTCATAAGACTTTGAAATGTGGCTGGTCCGTTCTTCATTCCAAAGGCCATTACTTTAAATTGATACAGCCCATTTGGGGTTACAAACGCAGAAACTTCTTTCACTGTCTCCGCCAAAGGTACTTGCCAGTAACGACAAAGTCAGTCTAATTTTAGGATGTAAGTGGCTTGTTCAACTTTTACCACACAGTCCTCCAGCCTTGGAATTGGGTACAAGTCCGATCTAGTTATGGCGTTGACCTTCCAAAAATCCACGCAGAACCTTGAGTGCCATCGGGTTTGGGAACAAACACGATCAGCAAACTCCATTCGCTTCAACTTGGCTCAATGATGTCTTCTTGGAGCATCACTTCAACTTCATTCTGTACCCGTGCACTTCGAGAGGATTAAGCCTGTAGGGGTGTTGTTTTATTGGAACAGCATTCCCTACTTCAACCTCATGTACTATAATATTAGTCCTCCCCATTCTATTCCTAAATATGTCCTCATATTGCTGCAACAAGCCTTTCAATTCAGTTCTCTGTTCCTGAGACAGACAGCTCACTATCCTATCAAATTCTCCAAGGACTTCATCATTATTTAACTTATTTTGAGGCACATCCAAAATCAAATCATCTGGATTTGATTCCTCACTGAGGGCAGTAACTAATACCTGTTTCTCTGGTTCCTAGTCCGTGTCATAGTAAGGTTTCAGCATGTTCACGTGACCTAGCTAGTAAAGTATTTTCCGATCTGGAATCTTTACCAGATAATTCACCTGATTCAACTTCTTCTCAATCTCATAAGGACCACTACACCTTGCCATGTAGGGATCCCCTATCACTGATAACAGCACCAGTACTTTATCCTCATGGGCAAACGTACAAATTTTAGATTTCTTATCTGCTTTTTGCTTCGTATGATGCTGTGGCTCCTTCAGATTTTGTCTACCTAATTCACCTAATCTGTTTAATCTTTCTCTAACCTCAGACACATAATCCAACTGTGAGTTCTCTGACTTCGGACCTATGAATTTTTCCTCAATTAATTCGTGTCCAAATATCAACTCATGGAGTAAACTGAGTTGGTTCATTTGGGGCATCTCTAATGGCAAACAATGTAAATGGGATGCCTTTTCCCAATCATTAGGCTAATCCTGGCAATATATTCTCAGCATTGTCTCTAGCGTCTGATACCACCTTTCCAATGCTGCCTTGGATTCAAGATGGTACGCACTTGATTTGAAGTGTTGGATGCCTAAACTATCCTTGACCTCCTTAAATAGTTTGGCAGTAAAATTGGACCCATGGTCTGACTGAATCTCCCTGGGTAGTTCATAACGGGTAAAGAAAGCAAGCAGCTCCTCCACAACCTTTTTTGCCTTAACATTCCGTAATGGAATTGCCTCCGGAAATCTCATGGACACATCCAATATGATTAGCAAATACTGGTTTCCTGTTTGGTTTTATGGAGAGGACCTACAATCAATCATAACCTGGGTGAAAGGTTCTTTGTATGCGTGAATTGGCAGCAAAGGCGCTGGTTTTATTACTGTTTGTGGCTTTTCTAGCATCTGACACATATGATAGGTACAGCAAAATTCAACCACATCTTTATGTAACCCAGGTCAATAGAAATGCCTTTGTATCATAGGCTAAGTCTTCCTCACTCCTAGATGATCTCCTACAGATAGTTTGTGTGCTACCCACAATACTTCCTGTCTATATACTACCAGCAACACAATCTGGCACGTTTCCACCCATTTCACCTCTGCTCTAACCTGCTGAGGTCTCCATTTTCACCTTAGGATTCCATCCTTAAGATAATAACATTTGGGAATACATCTGGATTCCTTTTCTGAGTAGGCTTTACAATATAAATCTTTGTCTCAGCTTTTTGTTGAAACTCCAGTAATCTTTCAGAACTAAGCATCTCTGTCTGATCCTCAACCTGTTCAGGTTTTTCCTTTACCATTTCATCAAACAAGATGTCAGCTAACTGGACCTCAACGCCTTCGTCTCTCTTCTTGGTTTTTCCTTCTTGCTGTATCTTATGACTGTGGGATCTTGTTACCACACAGTTCAGAAAAATTCCACAGTATTTTTCTTTCAACTCCTCAGTTCCCTGGTTTTCCTTCGGCTTCTCCACTACAAGGGGTGTCACTCCCATCTTGGATCCTGCTAGGTCATTTCCAAGAACAAACTGTATTCCTGGAATAGACACTTCTTTCAATCGCTCCCACTGTCACTTCCCCAGTCTTGATTGGTCTTTCCAACTTCATCTTACACGGGGTATCACTAAATCTCTCTCCATTTATTCCACATATTACCACTGTCTCGGGTAACATTTCAGAAAGAGTGTGAATACTTCCATCTCTTACTATTAGACACTGGTTATCTCCCGTATCTTTCAATATTTTAACTTCTTTACCTTCTCCCCCTGCTCTTCATGAGTAAACTTTACTCACAGAGGTGAAGTCTTGGTAGAGATTGGGCACCATCTCGCTATCCAGCCCGTGATTAGGCTGTGCACTCTCCTGCAGCTCCTTGACTTCTTTGGGATTTACTTCACTACTTCAGCTAATCCCACTGGTTTAACCTCTCTTACCACATCCTTTTTCCCAGTGCCTTTCTTAAACCACTGGTACTGTGACTTTGTGTCCCACTTCATTACAGTGAAAACACCTGAGGCCTTTCACCTCCTTTTCACCCCCTTGGGTTTCTTTTTTCACCTGTGGTAAACTGTTCCCAGTGTGATCTGCTTTTTGTTTTTCATTGAAGGATCTTCCTTTTCCCCAGTTTCTATCCTTCATGGAATGAAATTGTTGTCGGAAGCTAAATTTTGATTTATGCACTGATGTGTATTCATCTGCCATCTCAACAGCTCTTCTCACGTTGAGGAACAGAAAGCTCACACAATGAGTTCTTATCATTTCTGGAATTGAGTTTTTGAGCTCCTCTGGCAGAATAAATTCTCTAAGATCCTCGTATGTCTTTTCTATCTTAAATGCTCTCGCTCATTTTGAAGTTGCTACGTTTAATTCATTCAGACTCGACATAAGTCTGACCTGGTTCCTTCGTTATTTTTCTGAACCGTTGTCTACATGCTTCTAGTAGCAATTTGTAAGCACTCAAAATAGCCTGTTTCACTCCTTCTTAGTCTCCTGACACCTCCCCTGACAGTGCTGCAAACACCTCACAAGCCCTACCTACCAACTTGGTCTGAATTAACATTACCCACACAGTCTCTGGCCAATTCATCTGCCTAGCCAATTTCTCAAAGGAAATAGAAAAGGCTTCTACATCTTTTTCATCAAATTTCGGTAATGTTTGGACGTATTTGTATATATCCCTACCAGGCTATTGGCTACGATGAGTTTGCTCATCCTCCCTTCTATCTTGTACTTTTCCTTCCGTCATTTTGAAGTATTTTTACTTCTAGTTCCAACTTCATCTTTGCCAACTCAAATGTTCTTTCCCTTTCTGCTCTCTGTTTTCCCATTTCTCTTTCTCTCTCTCTTTGTTTTTCCTGTGTTTGTAACCATAATTCAAACTGTTTCTATTCCCTTTCATTCTCTAAATCCAGTTGTCTTATTTGCAATTTAATTTTTTCTAGCTCCCCTGCACTTTCCTGTTTCTCTAGTATATCTAAATGCTTGACTAACTCCTTTACAATTTCAACTTTCTTCTTGTCCTGAGTTAAACTCATTTTTAGCCTGTTTGCTAATTCCAAGAGGATGTCCTTCCTGGGTTTCCTGGGTTTTTCTAAGCTTTCTTAGCAAATTTGGGAAGCATCTTCAAATTCCAGAACCTCTTTAGCAATATTAACAGCCTTTTCCCTCACTTAATTTAACAAACCACAAGCAATCAAAATTAAACAGATTTTTATTTATAGATCTAGGGCACTAATCCCCAAGTCTGTTTAAATCTGTTCAGATCCCGTACACAAACCAGCCAGATTCCGGACTTGAGCCCCTAAACTGTTACGGAGAAGTGGAAGTTGATGAAAGAAAATCCCTGATATTAACTTTGAGTAACAAGTAACAATTTATTCATTTAACTGTAACAGTGAGCAAATTAACAATTATTAACAAACCAAACAGTTTCCCCCTTAACTAATTATTCTCTAACTGAACTAAATTATACTGGTATGCTGTTCCAATAAACACAAGTCCCAGTTGTATAAACCCAAGTAATAAGAAAATAAATTGAAACTTAGTCTCTCAAAGTCTACA